TATATTTTTTAAATATAAAATAATTAAATTTAAACTGTATTAGAAATATTTGAAGTAATTAAAATTTGAAATATATAAATATTTGTATGTATGTACACATATGCACTGCCACTAGTATTACAGTTTCTTCAGCTTACACACCAAATCTTTACTTGTCACACAGTTTCTGAAAGCTGACACTCAAACAGCAGAAGCACACACCAAATCTGCAAAACCATACGCTAATTCTCAGCCTTTCACTCAGTTTTCAATTTCATAAAACGCTTTTTGCAAAACACGACACACAACTCTCTATGTAACACACAGCAATCTAACAGGAATTAATATTATGGCAAAGGTGTTTGTAAATGTTTGCTTTTGAGATATGTTTGTGATATTTTGAATGCAGTGCTTCATTTTGAAAGAGATGTGATGCTTTTTGCATTCTGTGTGTGCAATTCTTGCATTTGTGTGTAAAGTTTAAAAAAAAAGAGGAAAAATGTTTTGAAAAGCTGTTGTTTATGTGTGTGTTTTCAGGCTTCAGCTCATTGACGATCTGTCATATGAGGATGTAAAGAAATGCTACAGGGGTTCAGTAAGTATATTTCATTGCCTTCTACCAGTGCATCTTTTAACTTACATGAATGTGTATTGAACTGGGAAAGTGCATGGGTTCAGTTTTCAGCAAAAACACGTACGAATCGAATGCGCTTCTTCAGATCTGACATGAATAGATTCTGTTTGTCCATCGCTGCATAGTTTCTCAGTTGCTGTGAGTTTCCGTCAACAGTTGTGTTTAACAATCATCCGTGATGCAAGTTTCCGTCGCTTACGTCATACGAGAAAACGAATCAGTTTAGTGTTTGCGCTGCTTCCAGTGAACCGCTATGGTTAGTTGGTTAAACTAGTCTCATGACCAGTTCTGTTTAGTTTTGGTCCGATTTGAACATAAAGATGCCATTATTTTGTGGATGAAAGAGTGTTTTTCTTCACAGACCGTCAGCAAATACAACTCCCAGTACCACAAACTCTTCTCGGCCGTCCCGAAGGAGGAGATCCTCATGAAGGGTGAAGTATCCGATCCATTCGCATGTCCATTTGTGACCCTGGACCACAAAACCAGTCATAAGTGTCAATTTTTGAATACATAAGCTTTCCATTGATGTATGGTTTGTTAGGATAAGACAATATTTGGCCGAGATACAACTATTTGAAAATCTGGAATCTGAGGGTGCAAGAAAATCAAAATATTGAGAAAATCATCTTTAAAGTTGTCCAAATGAAGATCTTAGCAATGCATATTACTAATCAAAAATTAAGTTTTGATATATTTACGGTAAGAAATTTACAAAATATCTTCATGGAACATGATCTTTACTTAATATCCTAATGATTTTTGGCATAAAAGAAAAATCTATAATTTTGACCCATACAATGTATTGTTGGCTATTGCTACAAATATACCCCAGCGACTTAAGACTGCTTTTGTGCTCCAGGGTCACATATATACTTTCAATCAGTGATTCTCAGTGGAGACAAGAAATGAGCCGTCTCTGCTTGAAATGAAACACTGAGATGCATTAAAATTATAACACTATGCAGCATTATTGTGCGTAACATGACAGATGAATAAAGCACTGCTCTACTGCTTTCATTTGGATGTGGCACCAGGTTTGGGATGTGAACATGTGTTGTATTTCGCACTAACTGTTGTGTTAATATTAAAGTGTCTCTTCTGTGTCTCTGTAGTTTATTCCTGTGCTCTTCTGCGGGACATTCTGCTGCAAGGACGGCTTTACATTTCTCGAAACTGGCTGTGTTTCTACGCAAACCTTTTCGGGAAAGATATCAAGGTTTGTAGCACTTTCTTTAACGTGAATTAGAGATGTTGAATTATAAGGAGTCAGTGTTGTTACTGTTAGCTAAAACTATTACAAAATTATTTTTATTAATTGAAATCAAATAAAATAAGGTGAAAAACTTAAACAGAAATCAGAAATGTTGCTCTGGGAACTAACTGAAATAAAAAATAAATTAAAGCTAAGAAATTAGAACTAATAAAAATGACAAATGCACATAAATTGTTAAAACGTAAACTAAAATGAAAACAAAAAATATAAAAGTGAAAGCTAATTCGAAATATCAATAAATGCTATAATAGTGTACTGTGTAAATAATACAAAATAACACTAAAGCTAAAAATATGACTAATAAAAATTACAAATGCACAGAGTAAAATTACTAAAATTTAAACTAAAATGAAAACTGAAAATATAAATATCCAAGATAATTCAAAATATCAATAAATGCTATGTAATAATGATACTAAAATAACACTGATCTGCAGATTAAAGCTAAAAATTAAACTAATAAAAATGACAAAAGCACATCAAATGACTAAAACCGATGACTGAAAATATCAAAATAAAAGCTATAATTTTGTAATAATGTAAAAATAATACAAAAATAACACTGATCTGCAAATTAAAAACTAATACAAATTACAATTGCACATAAAATTACTCAAACCTAACATAAAATGAAAAATCAAAATATAGAAATAAAAAACGAATACAAAATATTAATAATTGATATAATAGTGTAAAAATAATACTAAAACAAGACCGATGCTCAAATTAAAGCTAAAAAATTAAATTAATAAAAATGACAAAAGCACATACAATTACTAAAATGAAAACTGAAAATGTAAAAATATGAATAGTGAATAAATAATACTAAAATAACACTGATATTCAAATCAAAGCTAAAAAGTCAAAACTAATAAAAATGACAAGCACATAAAATTACTAAAACAAAAAGTGAAAATATAAAAATAAAAGCTAATTCAAAATATTAATAAATACTATAATAGCGTATAAATAATATTAAAATAACACTGTGCACTGGATAATATTAATATTATAGCTACTAGTATACTATTATTTATTCATGCACTATCATAGTATTTATTGTAAGGAGATCAAATGAAGCAGTTATTGATATTTTCTGTTGAATGTTATAGTGTTTTAATGCCTAATTTCAGCATGTAAACAAACAGAAGAGATAAATGTCGGTCATCATTGTTGTGCTGATTTCCAGGTCTGGAAAAGTGATAGAATTTAATCAAAACTTTTTGGGGGAAATCTGCTGTTCATGACTCTTTATAATGAAACTCTTATCCAGTCATCAGAAGTGACCGGATGCATCATGGAAAGTCATGGAAATCGATGGGTCAGAATGTGGGAAGCAGGTTATTATTATTCGTCATAACATTAAAATAATCAGTGGCTTTGGTTTGGGATGTGCTTTATAAGTATTAATAAACAGCCAATATGTTAATAACAGGCACGCTAATAAGCAACTAGTTAATAGTGAGAATTGGTCCCTATTCTAAAGTGTTCCCAAAGTTAAAGGATTAGTTCACTTTCACATTAAAATTTCCTGATAATTTACTCACCCCCATGTCATCCCAGATGTTTACGTCTTTCTTTCTTCAGTCGAAAAGAAATTAAGCTTTTTGATGAAAACATTCCAGGATATGGATTTAACCTCAATTTAGTTTAAAGGAGAAGTTTACTTCCAGAATTAAAAAAAATCCTGATAATTTACTCACCCCAATGTCATCCAAGATGTCTTTCTTTTTTTCTTCAGTTGAAAAGAAATAAAGGTTTTTGAGGAAACCATTCCAGGATTTTTCTGCATATAGTGGACTCCAATGGCGACCAAGGGATTGAAGGTCCAAATTGCAGTTTCAATGCAGCTTCAAAGGGCTCTACACGATCCCAGACGAGGAATAAGGGTCTTATCTAGCGAAACCATCGGTCATTTTCTAAAAAAAAAAAAGTATATGCTTTAGAAACAAAAATGCATGCCTTGCACTGCTCTGCGATGCGCGTCCTTGACTTCACGTAATACGTAATTGTGTTGAAAAGGTCACACTTGACGTAGGCGGAAGTTAGGTTTCAAAGATTTAAACATCCAGGATACGCACACGAAGTGACCATTTTAAACGATAAACTGACACAAAGACATTTGAATATGTGTCATTGAACATACAACAACTTTTGAATGGTCCTCTTTCTCCACATTTGTAAACACTGACTGAGTCGGTACTTCCGCCTACGTCAAGCGTGTCAACGTAATTACGTATTACGTGAAGTCAAGGACGCGCATCGCAGAGCAGTGCAAGGCGTGCATTTTTGTTTTTTAGAAAATGACCGATGGTTTCGCTAGATAAGACCCTTATTCCTCGTCTGGGATCGTGTAGAGCCCTTTGAAGCTGCACTGAGGCTGCAATTTGGACCTTCAACCGTTTGGTAGCCGTTGAAGTCCACTATAAGGAGAATAATCCTGGAATGTTTTCATCAAAAAGCTTAATTTCCTTTCGAAAGACGTAAACATCTGGGATGACATGGGGGTGAGTAAATTATCAGGAAATTTTTTAATGTGAAAGTGAACTAATCCTTTAATAAAAATGTTTTATTACAGCAAACTGAATATCAGTTTTTGCTGGATAGAGCTGAAAAGGCCAAGCACCACAATATGGGAAAGACCACTAATGTTTTAAAAATAAATAACACCAAAGTGCAGAGTATTTGTGGAAGGCAGATTTCTTCTGTTGTTTGATCCCGTGGGGAATATCGAGCTGCTGACCCCATTTCAACCGACCGCTCTGTTGACATTTCTGCTGCACTAGACCTAACGTTCAGTCCACTTTCGCTTTTGGCTTCGTCTGGATGAGGTTTTTTTTTTTTTTTTTCATTTTCTGTTTTTTTTTTGTCTGATAGAACGAGAAGTGCAAAGATCCTGAATCCACGATTCTCCTAATAACTGCTTGGTTTGGGTGTTTTTGTGCGATGTCTGGTCTGTTGATGTGGTTTTCTGGTTTAGGTTGCCATCCCGGTGGTGTCTGTGCGACTGGTGAAGAAACACAAAACGGCCGGCCTGGTGCCAAACGGACTGGCCATCACCACCGACAGCAGCCAGAAGGTGCTCAACCCAACACACCAAACACTCGGCCCAGAGCGATCGCTCTGTGTTTGACCAACACGTCCAGATCACTTATGAGATCTCTTTAATACCTTCACTGTTTCTCTTGGGTAGAAACTGGAAAATGAGACCAAACGCAGGTTTTGCTGAAGTCTTCAGCTTCTCAGACGCTCGTCTTGAGTTTCAGAAGAGATCTGAACAGCGTCTCAAACTGATTTGCTCAAGTCTGCAATCAAAGATCCCAACATGAACTCAAACATCATTAAACCACTATTATATATATACACACATATATTCTTCAAACAAAAACTTTTATTTTGTATGCGATTAATCGTGATTAATCGCTTGACTATGGAAGCCCGTTTCTGCCACTAAATAAAAATCTCACAATTCTGACTTTTTTTCTCAGAATTACGAATTATAAAGTCAGAATTGCGTGATATAAACTCGCAATTGCGAGAAGAAAATTCAAAAGTCGCAAATATAATTTGGGGATGTAACAATTACCGGTTTGACGATAAATCATGATAAAATTCCCCACGGTTAGTATTACCGTTTCATCTTTTAATTATCATTAAA